TTCCATCTTCTTTTAATACTTCCTGGATCATTTAATATTCTGCCTAAAGCATCCTTGATTATAGCAACTTGAGGTTTAAATTTGTTCTTCAATTCCTTGAGCTTAAGAAATGCTGAGCTAGTTCGGCCCTTTTCATTTTCTGCTCCAGCTCCTTGCGCATTTCATTGTAATATTTTGCTTTGTCATCCTGTGCTGTCCTTTCGAATCTTCTGTTCAGCTCTTGTTGAATCCTCGTTGATGTGACAAAAAAGTAAAGCAGTAGGTTTTCAAATTTAAAGTACAATTTTTGAATATACTCTTTATATTGTTGGTTTTTTAAATATATCAAGAAGTTTAGTATTTAAAGGGATTGGCCGTTTGACCTTTTTTCCTTTGGAAAAAAAAATGTAGTTTAAACAATGTTTGTAGGATAAATTATAGTCATGAGCACACTGTGGATAAATTATAGGTGATACTGGGGACAAAGTGTAATGCTTGGTTTTGAAGGACTGAACACAATGAGAAATTATGGATTTTATAATTTTGCCCCCAGAACAATCTGTTGTCAGACTTTTGGTCTTGATTTTATTGATTTATCTTTAATGATATCTTTCGTAGAAAGTGTTCTCTTAAAATAGAACACATATCATTCAGACAACCTGGTCGTAATTGTAGCTGTTAAAAAATTAAGCAGTATACATGAGAGAAGAGCCAGAAAGGTAAGCGATTCTGAACTCACTGTCTTTCATATTATAGATGTTTCTGAATTAATGCTCAATGGTAGCCTAGAAGAAAAGACGTACTTCACTAACATGATTACCTGCAGCCAAGTACACTTCAAGTAACCTGTTCTGGTGGGGCCTTCTATAAGGTATTTATGTTCACTTTTTGTTCTTTCTAAATACTTTATAATGTATTAAGTACTTTAGTGCGTTCTAGTCATTTATACAAAATAAATGCCGATTTAGCGTATTACAAGAATGGATTTTTTTTAAAATCTGTAATCACATGAAAGACTTAACAGATGTAACTGAGCAGTACAAGTCTTTTATTTTCCATCTTTTGTAATCAGCTTACTATGTTGTTGCTGCTGTCACGTGCTGTCAGAATGGTACTAGTAGCTGAGCTTCCAGCAGGTTTTCAGGGGCAGTAAATTGGATAAGATTACCAATCTTTCTTTTGCAGAACAGCTGGTAGATTCAAACTGCTTGCCTTTGGGTTTGCAGCACAACTCCTTACCCATAGACCACCAGAACTCCTTTAACTTAATCTAGGTCAGTTTAATATTAAAACTAGAAATGTCTTTGTATTTTAAATTGGGAATATAGTAGGGAGTTTGATTTTAAAAACATTGATAGAAGAAAAGGAATTCCTGAACAGTTATTTGAAATTGATTGTTGTTGTTAGGTGCTGTCAAGTCATAAATGGCTCATAGCAACCCTATGAATGATAGACCTGAACACTTGGATAACTTTCATTGTTTCACCAAGTTCATAGGGTTTCCAGAGGCAAGCTCTTTGGACAGTAGATGCCACTCCTACTTCCAAGCTTGTTTCAATCAGGGAGCTCCACCGAACACTGTCTACCATGGGTGACCATTATTACATTTGACACACCCTTGTCAACAGTGTTCAGCATCACTGCATCCATGAGTTACCTCTACACAGCAAATGGACAGACCACTATGCCACTTGGAAGAATGTTTGACCGAAAACAATTAAAACCAGGCCTGAGGGCTGCAGATTAAAATCACCAAACTTGGCTTGGACATTGATAAAGAAGTTTTATTAAAAAAATGAAAAATAATTTTATTTCTGCCTAAGGAATTTTAAGGAGCCATGGTGGTGTAGTACTTGTCAGGCTGATAGCAAAAGGGTCAGCAGTTCGAACCACCAGGAGCTTCTTGGGAGAAAGATGAGCATTCTCCTTCCATAAAATTTACAGCCTTGGTTGGAGGGTTGCTGGAGTTGGACTTGGCTCAGTGGCTATACAAATCAAAGCACTAGGCATCAGGTGTAAGTACCATTTTAAGATGTTATGATTTGAGAAAATATTAATAGCCAAAATAATAATACTCTGTGTGTCTCAGAAATTACATTGAAGTGGATCAGATATTGAGTAAAATGTTTGGCATTATCTTTGATTAGCTATACTTTGGTGCTAACCCAATGGCCATTTGGCCATGAACAGATAGACACTAGCTCATTTTAGTATTTCACACAGTTTACAAAAATTATTTACATTTACTTCTTATTGTTATATGCCATCCAGTCGGAATTGACTCATAGCTGACCCTCCAGTGGGCTTTCAGAGACAATCCGTTACACTCGAGGAGATTGTTCATCTTCCCACAGAGCACCTGGTGGATTCAAACCGTGTGCCTTTGTTTTTTTTTTTTTTTTGAAGGTTAAGTGGGGGACAGAATAGGATTCCCCAGGTTCTTGATGGAAAATCTTTATTTAAAGGCATTTTATTCTGTTAATTCTTAGTCCATTCCTTTATAATTCCAAAGGTTTCTTTTTTTTTCTTTTTTTTTTTAGTTCTATAATTATATTTTATTAATTTTCATAAACATTTACAGAGATTTTGGGCTTCCACTCATTCATTGTTGCACTATTCTCTCTACCCTCCTCCCAGTTTGTTCTTGTCCAAATGCCACAGTGCTTGTCAAAGCCAGTTCTGATTAATCTTCTTTGTCAGTGTATCCTTTGCCATTCCCTATCACTCCTCCCTGAGAGAGACTTCACCCTGAGTCATAAGGAAAAGGGGACGGCGTATTCTCTTAGCTACTTCCTGCTGAAAAGGGACGCTGTGGGTTTCAGGGTGAAGATCTTCTCTCACTACTCTAAAGGGCCCCTTTGGCAGTAGGAAACACATAGACTATTATGGAGATTGATTTTGGAATTTAGATGCACTCTTATTGATTGTGCTTGGCTGTACATGTTCATATCCTTGAAGATGTATCATGGGGGTGTTGTAACCTAGAAGACACAATTTTGACTAACAAGTTATAAGTAAACCGTGTGCCTTTGAGTTGGCCACACAACCCCCTAACCAGTAGGCCACCAGCATTCCTGCCCATTTACTTGTAGAGAAGATATATAAATACACAATAAATTGACAAAAAAAATTTTTTTTGGTATTTCATTCAGTAAAGACAAGAGAAGTAGATGTGCCCTTTTGTTTGGTTTCCTTCAGTGCTTCTCCCTGGTTGGATAATAGGATTTTTAACCTGAAAGATTTGTTACCTGTAGTTGATGTAGAGGAGGCATGTGGCTGCTGAGCTAAAGTTTTGCCAGTTTGAGGGCATCAGCCCCTTCTCAGGAGAAAGATGAGCCCATCAGCTCCTGTAAAGATTTACAGCCTTGGAAACGGGGGGCAGTCTGCTCTGTCCTGTAGGGTCACTGTGAGTTAGAAGTAACTGGACAGCAGTGAGCTTTTAGTTTGGTGGTGGTTTGTTGTTGTTGTTTTTATTTTGTTGTTGTATGGATCCGAATGGCACAGGAGAAGATTGCTCCTCCTTCTCCAGCGGATCATCTGGTGGATTCGAACTTTCATCTTGTTTTTTTAATGGGGTTTTTTTTTGTGTGTTGAATAGTGCTGAGATGGCAGTGACTTGTACATTAATAGTTCTGGATAGGAGTTAAATGATAAACCATGTTAAAAAGGGGGGAAAAAAATCAAGTCACAATAGTTTTATACTCTGATCCAATTTTTATAAAATTGTAATAGGTATATAATATACAACAATATATTAACATTGATTTGGGAAGGGTTGAAATTGCAAGTGATTTTTATTTATGTTTTCTTTTTCATTTTCTAATTCTTAGGTCCTAGCATAAGGCACAAACAAGGAAAAAATTGTATTTATCACCAAACCTGAAAAGAGAATTGTATGTAACCCTTCAAAATAGAAAAATGGAGGATTCTGAAGATACTGTATGAAGGTGAAGCTTCAAGCTGGGTGAGGCCGTGTCAGCTGCGCCTCGGGAGGAGAAGCGTGAGGAGGACGGCAGCGATGAGGATGCAGAGCGTGCAGACCGTGGGCACCACGATCTCCGTGACCATCTGCATGTGACTCAGCAGCGGCTCTAAAACGGAAGAGAGTGCCTGTTAGCATCATCCCAAAAGTGTGCCCATATCCCAAGAAGCCAGAAAAAGACCTCATCACATTTTCTCATTATCCTTATTTGCAGTAAAAAAAGAACCTGGTGAATTAAGTATTACAGAAAAAATTATGTGAGGGCATTCTAAAATATTTCTGAAAGTATGGGATAAAGAATCCATAATTTGGGCTTTTTGTAGGTATTCTAATAAAATCTATGTATCAGTGCTTAGAGAGTTATCTGTGTTTATTGTAAATTAGTATTAGTAGCTATATTCTATTGTCTCTATATAATTTTCTTTCCTTTTTAAAAAATAATGTATTTCTACGAAGATGGCGCGGAAAGTGAAGAAGGAAGCCCCTGCCCCTCCCAAAACTGAAGCTAAAGCAAAGGCATTGAAGGCCAAGAAGGCAGTCCTGAAGGGCGTCCACAGCCAAAAAAAAAAGAAGATCCGCACGTCACCCACGTTCCGGCGGCCTAAGACGCTGAGACTCCGACGGCAGCCCAAATACCCCCGGAAGAGCGCCCCCAGGAGAAACAAGCTTGACCACTATGCCATCATCAAATTTCTCCTGACCACTGAGCTATGAAGAAGATAGAAGATAACAACACACTTGTGTTCATTGTGGATGTCAAGGCCAATAAGCACCAAATTAAACAAGCTGTAAAGAAGCTCTATGACATTGATGTGGCTCAGGCCAACACTTTGATTAGGCCTGATGGAGAGAAGAAGGCCTATGTTCGTCTTGCTCCTGATTATGATGCTTTGGATGTTGCCAACAAAATTGGAATCATCTAAACTGAGTCCAGTGGGCTAATTCTAAATGTAATAAATTTTTCTCACCATAAAAAAAAAATGTATTTTCAGTGAAATTTTATATAGCAAATTAGGTTCCCATTTGACAATTGTAGACTTCAGTGACAGTAGTTACATTTTTGTAATGTGTCAACATTCCTTTTAATGACCTTCTGGTTGCATTTCTAGAGGGGGTTTTTTTGGTATAATTTTCATTAGGAGGAATTATAATAAAAGTCGCTGGGCAACATTGCTAGTCTTTCAAAGATGTTATTGTACGTCTTCATAGGTAAAGGACTTTACTGAAAAACTTTTTAAAAAAATTCTTGTACAATTAAATAATAACCTGTAGGAGTTAAATGATTAGCATATTTTGTGTCTATTATACTTCTTTTTGTTAGGTGCTGTCGAGTCAAGTATGACTAATAGCAACCCTATAAACAAGAGATCTAAACCTTGTGCTATCCTTATAATTTCTGACATACTCAAGGAGCACTGATGGACTAGTGGTAAGGAGCTTCGCTGACAACCCTACAGTATACAGTTTGAATCCACCAGCTGCTCCACAGGAAAAAGATATGCAATCTCTTCCTATGCGATTTATTGCCTGTGAAGGGTCAACTATGAGTTGGTTCAGATTCGATGGTACATAACAACCACAAGCACTGAGTCTGTGAGATGAAGCTTTGTCATCTTTGTCTCCAAATAGCATTCTGGCTGTATTTTCTCCAAGACATTTTTGTTTAGTCTGTTAACGGTCCATTGGCTATTCAGTACTCTTCTCCAGCATTATAATTCAACTGCATAATAAAGTTGCAGAATGCAGGTCATTGATGAGTTTTCCTCCATTCCTAACACCACATTCTTCTTCATAGAGCCCAGCTTCTCAGATGATTTGGTCAACATACAGATTAAAAGAATGCAACCTAGATGGATACCTTTCCTGATTTTAAACCATGTAGTGTTTCCTTGCTCTGGACAGTTGCTTCTTGGTCTAGGTATAGATTTCACCTGAGCACAATTAAGTGCGCTGAGATTCCCATTCTTTTCAATGTTAGCCATAATTTGTTATGATCCACACAGTAAGAATACCTTTGCATAGTCAATAAAGCACAAATAGACATTCTTCTGGTTTTCTCAGCTTTCAGTTAGAATCCATCTGACATCAACAGTGATATCCCTGGTGCCATGGCCTTTTCTAAACCCAGCTTAAATTTCTGGAATTTCTTTGTCAATGTACCGTTCTACCTGGTTTTGCTTGGTTGTCATCAGTATTTTGTTTGCATGTAGTATTATTAATGATAGTGTTTGATAATTTCCACATTCTTTTGGATCACCTTTCTTGGAAATGGGAACATACATTTGTTCTCTTCCAATCAGCCAGCCAAAGAGCTGTCCTCCAAATTTTCTGGCATAGTTTGTTTAGCATGTTTGGGGCTGCATTTGTTAGTTAAAACACGCCAAGTAGTATCCCATCAAATGGCCTCATTTTTTGTCAATGCCTTCAGTGCAAATTGAACTTCTTCCTTCATTACCATTGGCTTTTGTTCATAGTATTTCAGTGTTGACAAATTCTTTTTGGTACAGTGGCTCCATATATTCCTTGCATCTTCTTTTAATGCTTTTTGGCATCTTCTTTTAATGCTTTTTGGATCATTCTGTATTACTGTATTAGTTGGCATTTATATAATAACTGTTAAAATGTATGCCAAACATTCCAACTACTAAGATAAATTCCAGTCATGGGAATTTATAGGTTAGATAGATTTCAGCCATGGAATTTATAGGTTGAACAGTAAATTCTGTGGTAAATCCGCACATTAAGTTGACTTTAGCATAACAGAATATATACCCGTAGTGTACCTGGTTATTTGAATTGGGAATCAGGCAACATACTGGCTTGTAAAAATAACGTGAACTAGTAGGAATTAGAGTAGTACTTTCCATAGCTGATACACATTAAAGTCTTCAAACTGTCTTTTTGGCAAGTTTATGATAAAACTCAAACAAAGGAAATGTGTATTTCTTGATGCACAATTGATTCTTGGTTATTATATTCCTTGATCATTTTAGGTATTATTACATAAGAAATGATGCCATCTATGAGGACATAGGCTTGCTTTGCTTGTTTCATATCCACATAGCTTAGAGATTGTCCCTAGCAAGTTGTTAAGTGCTGTCGAGTCAAGTCCCGCTCACAGCAACCCTGTGAACAAAGACCTGAACTCTGGCCTATCCTGCACCATCCACCGCATCTGACACACTTGAGCCCGTGGCTGCAGTCACTGGCTCAGTCCATCCAGTTCACAGTCACCTCTCTCTGGCTGATCCTCCACCTTTCCAAGCATGATGTCCCTTCCGAGGAATAGCCCCTTCCAACATGCCCAGAGTATAGGCAATGAAGTTTCACTGCCTCTGCCTCCAAGAAGCACCCTGGAGGGCATTTTCTTTGTGTTTTTGGCAGTTCATGAGATAGTCAGTGCTCCAACACCATAACTCAAAAGTATAATTTCTTCTATTTTTATTCTTTGTCCTACTTGCAACCATTTGAAAGGATTTTTGTTTGAATCAGGTACACCTTAGTCTTCTGATGTTAGTGCTCTTTAGCGCTTTGATGAGGTCCCTGACAGCAGACTTGCCCAGTGCTGTCTTGATTTCCTGGCTGCTGGTGCCAAGGGTGTTGGTTGTAGATCCAAGCACAATGAAATAATTGAAAAAAATTTTTGAGGGTAAAATAATAAAGATACATGTATTAGATAGTTACATTCTCAAAGGGATAGACTTCCCTCCTTGAAAGGAAATAGGAAGAGAGGCTCAATTATTGGCAATTTCTATCTTCATCTTTCATGATTTACTTATTGGCCTGGAGGTGAGTGAGGATCTTTGTTTTCTTAATGTTGAGATATAACCCATATTAAAGGCAAGAATTTCACATCCTCCTCAGTTTCGGCAAAGTTGTGTCATCTGCATAACACAGGTTGTTGATGAGTCTTCCCTCCAATCCTGAATGCCACATTCTTCTTCATAAAGTCCATCTCCTCAAATGACTTGTGCATACAGACTGACTAAATATAAATTTTTTTGTATAAGTATAAATTGACTAGATAAAGATTTTTAATCTAGAGACCTTTAATTTCCTGTTATTTATTGCTCTGACTAGGTCTTCTAATAGAGCTAGTGTTAGGAGTAGGGAGAGCAGGCATGCTTGTCGTTCCTGACTTAAAGGAGAAAGCTCTGTCTTTTCCATCAGGTGTGATATTGACTGTTAGCTTTCATGGACACTATGAATTAGATTGAGAAATTTCCCATCTTTTCCAGTCTCCTTTAGAAATAAAAACTTTAAACTGCTTCAAAAGAAAGAAAAATTCCATTCTCAATCATGAGCGGTTTTGAAGACTTCAAGTGTATTAATATTTTAAGATTTTGGTGTGTGGTGGTGCTGCACCATCAAATTGGAATCCACCCATAGCTGACCCTCAGGCGGGTTTTCAGGGGCAAGTTAATCACGTGAGAGGAGATTGTCCATCCTTCTCCCACAGAGCAGCTGGTGGCCTCAAACTGTGCCTGTGGGATTGCAGCGCAGCTTCTTGCCACTAGGTAGTGTCATTATATGATTATGTAATTTACTTATCCAAGGGAGGAATTACACTCACCTATAGCAAGCATATGGTTGTTGATGGAGCACGTTTCTAAGGCTTGGTGATGCCAACTTTCCACCTAAATCAAACAAACAAACAAACAAACACCTTAATAACAAGTTCTTTCAAACTTTTTTTCTGTTAAGAATTCATTTTAGAATAAGAGGCAAAACCAGATATTCTTAACATCTACCTGTAATTAAAATTAGCTAGTATTTATTGAACACTTACATGCAGCATGGGGTCAAGACATCTTTATTCTTTAAAAACCTACAATCTCCTGCTTTTCTAATAATAGAAAATGAGTGAATTTTTAATACCTATCTGCCATTAGTTTCATATGTTGGGTAACTCAGGAGTCTGGTAAATAAGATTGCTTTTAAAACATTTTTAGTAAGGTGATCGCCTTTAAACTTCAATTTTTATTTTCCTACCATTATTAGTTTTAACAACATGGATAGAATTATAGAGACCTAGTGGAAAAATTTGGTAAATTGTTAGAAAATGTTTGGTTGATTTTAAAGGATTATTAAGTCTGCATATTTTAAAGCTTTGAAACCATTGCATTTGTATGGCTTTACCATACAGTAAGAAAGGGTGAAAAGTATGTGGTCATTATGCACTTAACTGCTTCCATGTTTTTATATATGTTGCTGAGTATGTAATATTTATTTGTTTTCAAATATAAGATTAAAGAACATCATTGAAGTAATAATAGTGACTGTTACCATAATATAGCACTTTGTATTTTAAAAAAAGTTGAACTCAAAGTCTCTGATCATGCTCTTGATGTTAGCACTTCAGTTTTAACATATGATCACTCCACCCTAAGCAAATGAGCACAGAGGTGGTGAGAGTTGGGGAAAGAGTTAAGGTTCGTGCTTACTGCACACCCCATTCTCTCATGGGGGATAGAGACATGCTTGTGTACCCCAGCTACCTGGCTCTAAAATCCAGAACAAGTAACGTCAGTATTAGTCCTACCTCTCTTGGACTGGGAAACCCATTGGCGTAGATAATCCTCTTGTAATATTGAGCCGAAGCCTTTGGATAGCGAGGTTTATTTCTGTTGCTAAATCTGACATAGTAGAATCCATATCTCTCTGAGTATCCTTGCTCCCATTCAAACTTATCCAACAGAGACCAGGAAGTGTACCCTCTGATATCAGCCCCATCTTTTATAGCTGCAAAGACATTCACATGTATCAGATTTTTTTCCTTTCTGGAATTTATAAATAAGTTCTAAACAAACATGTGTAATCAGGTTTTGTTTGAGCTTAGAATGAGCTCTAGTGGTATGGTGGTTAAGTACTTGTTTTCTAACCAAAAGCTCAGCTGAGCCACTTCACAAGATGTGACAGTCTGCTCCATATTTACAGGCTTGGCAATGGAGGGAGGCAGGTCTCTGCCCTGAAGGGTTTCTGGAAGTCAGAATTGACTCAGCAGGAACAGGTCTAAGTTAAAAAAGAGAAAAAGTGAAGCTGGTCATTAACTCACCTTTTAGCATCTCATTTATGTACCCTTTAAGGTATTGTATTCTCCACAGGTCACATAGTTGAGTGCAGTGTGATTTTTGAGAAGCTCCGTTTTCTGTCACGTATATGGGAGGATCAACATACTGAGTCTGAAAGGGAGTCATAGGAAAGAATATCTTTAGAAACTCTGACTTGGTGGTTCTCTGAGTCAGGCACATATAAGAACAGGTTCTCGTCAAGTGCATGTACATTTAGCATTCTGTGTCAGTTAACATGCTTATTTAGAGATGAAGATGAATGTAGGCAGAAGGCTAGGTCCTACAATAGAGTATAAAATCCAAATTTGAATCAATTCCAACTCATAGCAACCTCCAATTGAGTTTCCAAGACTATAAATATTTACAGTGTAGGCTAGTGGATTTTAACTGCTAACCTTTTGGTTCACAGCCTTATACGTTACTTGCTACACCAGCAGGGGTTCTGTATAAAAGAACATGGTGTTAGGTTATTAAGTACTGTGCAGTCAGAACCAATCATCCCATCAGGTTTTCAGAGTCAGTAAATCACACAGCAGGAGATTGCCCATTTTTCTCCCTTGAAGCAGCTGGTGTATTTGAACCACACACCTTTGGATTAACAGTGTAGGCCCTTACTACTTATCCACCAGAACTTCCTAATGAAATAATACAGGTCTTAATAAATCAGCATCAATTAGGAAATGTTCTTCAAGTCTTCTTGCTTTTGTATACTTCATTTCAGGTAAGAACAGCAGAATAAATTAAATGTGGAATAAGAATTTTTGCTGAAGTTCTGTACCTGGAAACAGTTACTCATTGTAGGTGTTTGCTTGTAAGGTCTGTTTGGTAACCTCTAAAGTATGAATAGGGAGCTCTGGTGGCCTAGTGGTAAGAAGCTGCACTGCAATCCCAAAGGCACACAGTTCATATCCACCAATTGCTCCCTGGGAAAAGGATCGGCTGTCTCCTCCCATATAATTTGCTGCTTCTGAAAGCTGGAGGGTGAGCTATGGGTCGGTTCCTACTCAATGGTACACAACAACAAAGAAGTATGAATAAGTGGGTTCATCTTACAATATCAGCTGTTAACTTTGAAATATCAGCATCTGAATTTACCCTTAGAAGCGCATGAATTAAGAAGATAGAAAACGCCTTGAATGTAGGTTAACTTGACAGTCACCTGAGCAAAGTTGAGGAGCCTCCTGAATCCCCATGGCACAGAATACAGCCATTTAGACCCCAGATCAGGCCAGTTTGGGTCAACCAGTTCTACTAAGTCGCGGTCGTTCTGGTAGCTGGGCCCCTGTCGGGAGGGGTAGATCCTCTCTGTGATGTACCGCGTGGTGAAGTGACCCAATCCCAGGAAATCCGACGTGCCTTTAATGTAGCTCTTCTCCTGGAGGGAGAACACTGGCAGCCGTGACATCTCCAGGCCTTGCTCGGCGCTCTTCCTTCCTGGCAGGAGAGAGAAGCAGATTTTTAACTCCATTGTATTTTCTCCCTGTCACTCTGGGCTTGCATGTACCATGAAATTCCCAATTTTTAGGTCGAGGGGGTTTGTTGCTCTCTGCAGGGCATGCCCAGTTATCGAGATTCTTATTGCTCTGGGGTCTAGGTTACCCTTTGAGTGCCTGTGTTGTAGGTTGAATTGTTTGAAATGGTGGAGGATCAGAGACAGGAAGTTAAGCTGGAGTGACTGTAACGGTGGGCTCTAGTGTATCTGAGATGAGGAGTCAGGCTCAGATCTCCTGTTCGTAGGGTCGCTTGGAGAGTCTACTTGATGAACTGGCACTTATCAACAATATGTGCATGCAGTGAGATACAATGCCCTTGAGTCCCTACCAGTCCTGATTAGGGAACTTCTGGAGGGCTGACCTGAGATAAACAGGAGATGCTCCCAGGGAAGTGGAACCTCAGTGCCAGCAAGAAAGAGAAGCTGAGTCGAGCATGTCTTTCGGTCCTGCACTGGGAACTCCTAGAACTAAGAGAAAGTCTCCCCTAATGGTGGCACCCTAAATTTGGGCTTGTGACCTCTTAAACTCTAAGGAATAAATATTTGTTGAAGCCGTCCACTTAGGGTATCTGTAATAGTGGCAGATAACTAAGACAGTGCCTCATACAAGCCCCCTTTGCTTCTTGTTGAAGCCGTCCACTTAGGGTATCTGTAATAGTGGCAGATAACTAAGACAGTGCCTCATACAAGACCCCTTTGCTTCAGCTCAGGAATTGCTGTGATAGTATCTGGGCTTTGAAAAGACAGCCTGGCTCACCTATACGGTCCTTCATGACTTGAGGATAGTCTCCGGCATAAATGGGGTTGGCAAACCAGCCCAGGCAGAATTGCAGGTATCTCTCTGCAGCCTCTACATCCTTGGGGTTCCTGATGTCCACAGGTTCCCCCCAGTCACAGTTTAACGAAATCCCCACCAGGCCTTATGAGAGGAGGAAGGAGAAGAGGGTGAGCAGCGATGCCATTGCGCCCGGTGCACATCTGTGCCCAGCATGGCGGTGAGGGTCCAGCTCACCTTGCTGCCGGCTGCGCCACGTGGTGTTGTAGGAATGCCAGGTTCGGGCGTGTGCCTGCAAGAGGAGCAGAGCTCAGCGTGGGGGCCTGGCTGCTCTCTCCTGCGTGTCCCCTGCCTAACTCTAGAGTCCAGTACTTTGTTGTGATGCACCGAGTCAGAACTGACTCATAGTTAACTTTCCAGCAGGTTTTCAGAGGCTGTAAAATCGCATGTGAGGAGATTGCCCATCTTTCTCCCTTGGAGCAGCTGGTGGAATCGAACTTCCTGCCTTTGGTCTAGCAGTGCAACTCCTTACCCCTAGGCCCTTAGAACTGGCACACTGAATTTGGACTCCTCACCTCCTAAACTGTAAGAGAATACTTGTTCCCCCCTACCCCCACCCAATTTGAGACCTACCACTTTCTTTAATCCATCCTTAATTACCCCAATCCATGATCTTTGGATATATTTTCTTCATACTGTTGTGGAAAGTTGGCCTAAACCTTGCACACACCCCTTGAGTGTTTTTTCAGATTTATGCTCAAGTCCTTGTTTTGTTACCACTTGTCCTCCACAGCCACTATCTGGTGCTTTTCTCCATGTGGCTGCATAATCTAGAACAGTGCCAACTGTCTTTCGCAGTCTTGAGAAACGGAGCCTAAGATGTGCCAGTCGGCCTTCTCTCCAGATCCTCTGTCAGCTCTCCACTGGTCTGCCTACACAGTGTTTCCAAGGCTGGCTTGGCATCTAAGAGAGATGGAAGGTATCTGGACAACTCCTCAAAGTGTGGTCCCTAGACAAGAGTTTTAGCATCTGCGGTAAACTCGGTAGAATTTCCCGAGTCCTGGTGTAGACATACTGACCCAGAAACACAGAGGAGGGTGACAGTAATCTATGTTAACCAGACCTCTAGGGAATTCTCATGCAAACTGGAGATCGAGAAGCACAAATTTAGAAGAATGGAATGTCCTCAGATTACAAAATCTAGGGTTGCTTCTTTTTCTCTTTTCGCCAGTCCCATAGAACTCCCATTTGTCATGTATGTAGATAGATATAGTAAATTATTGATCATATGTATTGTTTAATGAAGAGGAATATTTCAAAACTATCAAAATCACATCTATTCTGTTTCTCATTTATTGACAGGTCAAAAAAATTAGGCATGTCTTTCTGTTCATTATTACATTACTAAAGAAGTCTTCAAAGGTCTGCCCTTTAAATATTCACAGTTTTGAAAAGGGAAAAACCGAATGAGGAATCTCTCTCCTCTACATATACTTGAGGCCTGGGCCGCCCTCCAGCTTGAAGAGATGATCCACCCTTTGCTAAGAGCCTTCAGGACTGGTCCCGCCATGCTCCCCACCCTGCTCCCTTCCATCCGTATCCTATCCCTGAGGTGTTCTATTTACCACTGAGCGTGACCCCATTCCCTCCCTGCTTTTCACACCATTTCTACAGCCTTATAACTCATGGCCTGTCTCCTTTCCTGTCAGTCCTTACACCAGCTGCCCCTGCAGACCACCTCTATGGCACCTCCTTCAAGCAGAGGCAATTTCCCTCTCACATCCTACATGCCTCAGGACTGAGAAGTAGAGAATGACTGCCTTGCCCCCTTATTGCTGTTGCCAGATTGCTTCTCCTTCAAAACTTTAAGCCCTCTGAAGTCTGTGCAGCCGACTGTCATTCCTTACTGCTTCCTAGCACTCACTGACCTTGAGTCACTTCTGCTCAGCCATTGGTGATTTCAGCCCTTAGCTCACTGTCTTCCCCCACCTGCCCTCCTGTTACCACTCCCACAAGGCAGTGGGACCTACAGGTGTACCCACAAATTTTCACATGTATCTTAGCCACAATGACGAGCAGAGGGGGCACTTCATAGTGTCTCTGGGTTGGAAGGGGAACAGCATGGAGGTGCTGTGGAGCATGCTGGTTTGGAAGTAAAACAGTAAAGGAAGGGTCACTGGGGCAGGCTGCACTGCTCCTGGAGGCCTGGCTCCTCAGAAGGACCCCCCAGCCCATCTCACCTTAATGATGTGATGCGCTGCCTTGTACAGACCCGTGCCGCGGAGCTTCAGGCCTGGAGCATGGCGACCCACCTCATAGCCCTTCTCCACCATTGCCTACAAGGACCATGGGGCCATGAGAAAGGGGGTGGGCGACCATCAGGCCAGGAAAGTGGGTTTTACCGCCTAGAGAGAGGCCTGGCTTACCCGAGGATCACTGAAAGTGATCCAGTGCTTCACTCGATCCCCAAAGACCTCAAAGCACAGATTGGCGTAGTCATTGAAGTAGTTGATCAGGCTTGCGTTCTGCCATCCCCCATATTTGACCTGGAGCAGCTGCAGACAGAGAAGTGGAGGGAGAAGCAGGTGCCCCGGGTGAGGGTCCATCTCAAGAAATGGTTTTAGGGCCAATTGGTCAAGTTTGTAAAAGAAGCGTCGATGGTTACAGCTACAGAAACTTAGTCTCAAAGAAAGAGGAGCAAGGCTGTAAGGTCTTAGCATGAAGCCCTGAAGGCAAGAGCCATGACGAATCAAGGCAATTTAGACATAGAGGTAAATTGTGTAACACTGTAAAAACAGGAGCGGGGAGCTGAAATTTGAGACTATCATTCTTAGAACAAACATCACAATTTGAATGTTTAAAATAATTTACCAGAGAGGAGAAGCCTGATGATGGGGAGCGAATCTCGAATTTAAATTCTGAAGACTTGAGTTACAATGTTAAGAATGGAAGATCTGCTTAGGGTGCTGAAGCCATAGACATGTCAGAAGCCTCTATTTTAGGGGGAAAGGGCTTGATACCTTTCTCAATGGGCCCCCTCTGCTCACAAAAGCAGAATTCTCCCAAGACTTTTTGACAGTGATTACCAACTGTCCTCTCCTTGGCTTTAATAGGATGCTAAAGAGAGCAGATTTGTGAAAGAGTTAACCAAGGAAGGAGCCAGAAAGTGGGTTTTTAAACTTTATATTCCTAAAGCCATCTCTAGTGAGCACTGGGGGCCTTAGTGGTGAGGTGATCTGTTGTCAACCCAAAGACAGGCAGTTTGAATCCAGCTGCTGCTCTGGAGGAGAAGAATAGCCAGTCTCCTCCTGTGCAGTTTACAGCCTCTGAAAATCATAGCATCAGCTATGGGTCCGTTTCAACTCAGTGGGACATGGCAGCAACAACAAAGGCAGCTCTGCCTCTCCAATCCCAGTTTAGAGACCTTAACTTAGAATTTGAGACTTTTCAGGGCTGGCTCTGAGCTCCTCTTCCCACCTCCCTCTTGTCTTCACAGACTTTTAACCACATTATTTGCCCAGCCCCTCCCTGCCTCCTTGTCAAGCTCCCTGTAATAAGAACACCCTTTCCTGTCCCTCACACCAAAACCTTCGAAGCACTGATTGATTGCCTTCTCACTGCTTCCCCAAAGCCATTATCCAGTCTCCAACTCCCCAGATTTCCTTTTCCACCAGCCCCCTGTCACCAAGTTATTCCCCACCCAGCTCCTCTCCCCACCAGGCTTCGTGATCTCCCCAGGGTCTTGTTGGACACCATGAAAAAAAATGCCTTGAATGCAGACATTTAGCAGCTGTGCTCCCAACCACGTTGCAGTGCCACAGAAATTGCTGGGGTGTCATACAGAGCGCATATGATGCTGGCTCAAGCGAGTGGAGGAAAAAGGGTGGGCAAACGTATCAGGCCATGTCATCAAATCTCAAAGGATGTGTCTTCATTGTGTTTCTGGCTTGTTTTTATGCCAAATATTTTGGAAAACAGCAGCATACACACTTCCCACCTGAAATCAGAAACATTAACAGAAGCAGCATGGCCTCCCTGGCATGCTGGGCCAGGTCTTTCTGCATTTCTCACATTGGACAGTCCTGAACCCAACTGCAGACTTGGTTTTGCTGTCTCCGACTGCCAACCAGGCTTCCTGACTCGGGGCTGAATCTCCTGGCCTCTGGCGCTTTTCCCCCCATCTCCCTGGCCTCACCTGTGGGAGATCCCAGTGGTGCAGGGTGACCATGGGGGTGATGTTGCTCTTCAGAAGAGCGTCAATGACGTCACTGTAGAATTGGATTCCCTTCTCATTCACCTTGTCAGCTGCAGGAGAAGTAAAGGGGGATTTGAGGAGGAAGGACCCTGACCTTGGCCCTCTAGCATTCCTGGGCCTTGGGGCCTTTTGTGACCTGAAGGCACCCTGGACGGCCAGCATCTATCATCTCAGTGGGGCTGAGCCTGGGAGAGCTGCTGCCAGCTTCCACCACACTCCCCAGATGGTCTCCCTTTCCAGGACCCTGGTGTCCCTGATCGTCCAGCTGTGACCAACAGTGGCCACTCTTGGGCCCAAGAGTGGTGACCCTAACTCACCTCGAACACCTGTGGGCAGCAGCCGGGGCCAGGACAGGGAGAACTGGTAGTGGCTCACGTTCAGCTCCCGCAGCAAGGCGATGTCCTCCTGCATAGACAGGGGTTCGGGAGGAGTCAGGGAAAGAGGGGAGGGGCCAGACCACTGAGCTGGGGTGGGGGTGGGGTGTGCTCAGGAACCCCAGGGCAGAGGCTCACTCTTGCCTCTAGCCCCCAAGGGATGTGGTGGTGGTCTCACAACTCATAGCTGAACCTGTGGGTTTCTAGAGGTTGTCGAATGCTTCAGAGGAGATAGCCTGTCTTGTTCTCTCAAAGCAAATGGTGGATTAGAACCACAGGGCTTTGGGTTGGCAGTGCAACTCCTTACTGTTAAGCCACCAGAGCTTCCCTATAGAGGGAACCATTACCTCTCTACAACAGGGGCAAACCTCCCCCATTTTAGGCTGTGCATATGTCAAGAGGCTAAGGAAACACAGGGGATGGAGATTATTACTGGAAACTCGGGGAATGAAGACTATTTCTGGAAACTCAGGGGATGAAGATTATTTCTGGAAACACAGGGGATGGAGACACTTGGAGAAGCCCACCAGGTGAATATACTCAATAAATTGGGTGATGAGTCTGCCTAGTAGTCCATCTACTTGGGTGCTGAGCAGAGGGGCTGAGGGTTCAAGGGGTGGGAGGCCAATCTGCAATTAGGGATCAAGGCTACAGGGACTGTGGCACCCACCAGTCTGTTGCCTGCCCATCACTTAAGCTAAGACTAAGGCTGAGGTCTCGCTTTTCTCTCCTCCTACATCCGGGCACCTCTCCATCCCCCACTCACTACTGCCCACCCCAAACCAGATATTCAGTTCTGCCCAGGCCTCAGTTTCCTGGTTGTGTTGGGGTGCAGGGTGCTGGGCAGAGCATCAAGTTGGCTCAGCTAGGCCTGTGTATTCACACACACACACACACACACACCCAGCCCTCACCTGGAACTTGTAGTAGCTGTCACAGGCCACATCCCCTGTCTCATCCCCAAGCACCTTCCCCTTCCTGCTGTGCGTGAAGGCGTCCCAGATGCTGGGTCCTTTCCCATCCTCGTCCCAGGCACCTTCGGTCTGGTAGGCAGAACTGCCCACGCCCCAGGAAAAGCCTGTGGGGAGGCCCCAAGGTGAGGCCAGAACAGGCCCGAGGGCCCCGGGTGGACCCCTTCTCCCCACGCTGCCTTGTCTCCTGGGGTCTTGCCTCCCTGGCTGGGAGCTGAAGGCCAAGACGGAGAAGACTCTGCAGCATCATTTTACCTCTGACTAGCACTTCCTGTCTATATAATTTTATTTCTGATTGGCACTTCCTGTGTGTATCATTTTTTTTTCTTTTTTTTTTTTTCCTGTCTGTATCATTTACCTCTGATTAGCACTTCCTGTCTGTATAATTTTGGTGACTTTCCCAACTCTTAGGAACATCTTTATCTTAAGAGCAACTCCACAGAGTTATGCTTTCAACTCCTCCCAGCTTACAGGCGGGAGGGATCAAACACCAAACTTCTCGGCATGCCGGCCAAGGGCTCAAGTCGACAAACAAGTGGACAGACTGACAGAGGACTAGACATACCCGGTGGGAACGTTCCGTAGTAGAAGGAGGCCTCTTCTGGGGACCCCTTCACGGTGGCCCCCAGCCTGGGCACCAGCAGTAGCAACCACCAAAGGGTGACAACCCGAAGTGGCTTCATGGTGTCCCGTCCCTCCCCCCGCACCTGGAAAAAACACACCTGAGAGCCACAGGATAGAGGCTGGGGACAGGTCAACATAATGGGGGGAGAAGGGAGCACTTTGTCTGCTGGGACCTTGAGGCTGGGCCTGTGTGACTCTGAGTGTGAAGTCTCAAGTGGGGACAAAGTCTTAGGGAGCTCCCGAGTTGCCAGTCCCTCTTCCTCAAGGACCCCTCCCCAGTTGATAGGGAGTTGGAGCAACCTATCAACTGTGGCATGCTCAGACCCACAGGACACCCCCCCCCAAGGTGGGAGGTGTCATGAGCAGGAACACCCACCCCAGTCCTGAGGGCCAGGGAGATTCCCGTCCCCATAGGGACCCCCTTGCTGAGGCCAGCCTGACCAGCTTACCCAGATAGTCCTTGGTCCCAGACCAAGGTGGGTATCAGAGCCCTCTCTGACTGGCCCCTAGTACCTACGCTGCCCCCGAGAGCAACAGAGAAGGCCCTGGTTGGGGGTGTGGTTTGCCACCTAACCTCGCTACAAAGAGTCTGAATAACACCATTCAGTGGGGCTCTGACCAGAATGCTGAGCTGGGCCTCGGGACCTGAGTCAGCAGCCTGGAAGCTTGGCCCTGGGCCCCGGGCCACCCTGTCCCTTCCTCCCGTGCCAGGGCCGAGGAGGATGGGGACCAGCCCTCCCTCCTTCAGGCGAGGCACTATCGCACATCTTCCGAGGGTATGGCCGGGTGGGGACAGTGTGCAGACACACAGGCTGTGTGTTGGCTTCTGCCAGTCTACTCCCTGCTGCCAAAGAAAATCCACTCTAGCAGTTAAAACTGGCTTTTACAACTCACCCTTCTCTTTTTGTACCCCTGACTAATTCATTCACTCATTCGTTTATTCAACCAATCTTGCCTGCTAGAACGTAGCCTCCCAGAGGCTCAGCACTTTTTGTTCTCTATCCTGACTGTCTGGGGAGCACTGGTGAGCTAGTGGGAGGCAACTGTACTACAGGCACACGTACACCATCAGCCGCTCCATGGGAGATGGATGGACAACCTCCTCCCATGCAATTTACTACCACTGAAACCAGCTGGCAGTGTCAGCTATGAGTCAGTTCTGATTTGAAGGTACACAACAACAACAACATCCTGTCTGCATAAGTCCCTCCTCTACTGTGGGGCCTTTCACTGTAGACTTCACACCAAGTTAGCTGACTTCCCAGACAGAAGGGTCTTTCCCTGCTTCAGGTGTGCTTCAGGGTTGTAGCCTGCCTTCATATCTATTCAATCTGTAGGCTGAGCAAATCATTCGAGAAGCTGGACTGTATGGTACAGAGTCCATGGTATATCTACATATTATTGTCTATATCATAGAGATAATAGGATATCAGGAGCAGAAGAAAACTCTTCAATAACTTGTGTTATGCAGATAACACAACTTTGCTTGCTGAAAGTGAGGACTTGAAGCACTTGCTGCAGAACATCGGAGACTATAGCCTTCACTATGGATTGCATCTCAAGATCATGAAGATAAACATTCTTACCCCTGGACCAATAAGAAACATAATTATAGATGGAGAAAATATTCAAATTGTAAATAAATTATTTCACTTTACTTGGATCTACAATCACATCCTTGATAGCAGCAGTCAAGAAATCAAAAGATGTATCGCAGTGGGAGAGTCTACAGTCAGGGACCTTTCCAGAGTACTGAGGAGTGAGGATGTAATAATGTCAGCTAAAAGACCAAGGTGCACTTGATTCAAGCCATGTCGTTTTAATCATTTGCTATGCATCTCAGTCATGCCCAACTCCACAGCATCTAACAATAGTCTCTAAAATGTACCTAATTCAAGCCATGGTCTTTTCAATTACTTACTATGCACCTGAGAGCTGGATGGTGAATAAGGAAGACAGAAGAAGAACCGATGTCTCTGAGCTATGTTGTTGGAGAAGAGTACTGAGTGCCCTGTGGACTGCCAAAAGAACAGATCGGTCTTGGAGAAGGTGCAGCCAGAGTGCTCCTTAGATGCAAGGATGGTGAAACTTCATCTCACATATTTTAGGCATGTCGTTAGGAGGGTCAGATCCTTGTAAAATGATGTCCTTCTGGGAAAGGTGGGGGGGGTCAGTGAAAGAGAGGAAGACTCTCAACAGGATGGATTGACACGGCCACTGTTATAATGAGCTCAAACATATCAGAGATAATGAGGATGGCTCAGATTAGGGCGAGGTTCAGATCTGTTGTTTATGGGGGTCACTGTGAGTTGACTTGACAGCACCTAATAAACATTTGTGCCAGCAGTAAAGAAACCAAAAGATGATTGCATTGGGAAAGTTCACTGTCAGGGACCTCTCCAGAGTACTGAAGAGCAATGATGTCAGTGTAGAGACTAAGGTGCTCCTGACCCAGGCCATAGTCTTCACAATTACTTGCTATATATCAGAGACTTGGACAATGACTAGGGATGATAGAAGAAGAATTGATAACAGCTAGGAGAACAAACACATTTGTCCTGGATAGGGTGAAACCAGGCTGCTCCTTGGAGAGTAGGATTCTGACGCTCCGTCTGACATACTTTGGACATGTTGTTGAGAAGGACCAGAACTTGGAGAGGAAAAAGAGATCTTGAAAAGTGGAAGAATATCCCTTGCTCATGGATAGGAAGACTCAATGTTGTGAAAATGGCAATACTACCAAAAGCAATTTA